ACTGCTTGTGATTGTGCTGCCACGGACAACACGAAGAAACGGCGATGGTTAGCGCGCAGTGCAAAGAAACGGACCCCCAATTCGGAGTGTGGTGCGGGACAAGCCGGTGAAAGGCATAGTGCAAAGTTTATCGAGTTCACCGTAGCGCAGCGCCTTAGTACGCATTTCAGGCATGTCATTCTGCGATGTGCTGCAAGTGTGGCAAACGGCACACCCATGACCCCGGGGGAGGTGTCAGAGGAGATGGGCTGTGCACCGGATCATTGGGCGGGGGATCATGCCCGCTGCCAACGTCCGGGAACAACCCCGCCTCGCTGTATTTCGGAGGGCTGGGGTGAGGAGAGTGCTATTTATGCAAAGGGGTCAGCGACACACAAGGCGGTGTGTGCATGGTTCGAGAAGCGTTTAGGGCAGGCGCAGGTGGCGCCTTTCATCCGTGGAGCGAACAGCTCACTCAACGAATCTTTTCATTCGATGGTGTGCAAGTATGCGCCGAAGCGGTTGCGGTTTCGTGGCAGTATGGAAGCCCGAGTTGCTTTGGCGGTTTTGCACTGGAACAGTTGTATGGACCGCCTCGTGAAGGGGTATCGCACACGTGTGAGGCGAGCTACACGGGTTCAGCGCGGCTCCACGGTTCGGATCTTGGGACCAATGGATTGGTCTTGGGTAGACGATATCATGCATCAGTGGCTGCGGGCGGGTGAGGAGGACCCGGAGGAGGCCGATGACATGGTGGAGGTGGCCGGAGATGAGGCTGCCAGGGATAACAGTCTCCACGAGAACGAGCGGGTGGTGCGCCCACGCACCATTGCTGGTCCAGCCGCCACCGGTGACTCAACGCCTTTGAGAGATCTCACGCTGCGTTTCAATGCCGGCTGCAGTGACACCCCCGGATGTGGCAGCAATATCACTGGGGTTGGCAGCCCAACGCCCACCCGGAGAGATGCTCCAGCCCGACGCCGCCTAACTGGTCGGTCAATTGTTTTCTTGTTATTGCACCATGGAGGAGTTTCAGGCCGCATCGCCACTCCTTTGACCCTTGCGCATTCCGCCTCACTTACTAGTGCCTCCCTTGCTCCCAACCTTTCCAATGTTGGGAGGTTCTACACCACTCCCTACCCCAAGCACCGTGCCCTCCTTCTATACCATACCCCTCCCCACTCATGCACAGGGGCAACCGAGTTTCGCTGAACGGCGTGATGCCCCCGGGCCGCTGCTGCACCGTCATGGCTGTTTCAAATCTTGACTAAGTTCCAGTTGGTAAGCAACCCTAAACCCTGCGTTTTTCTGCTCATTGGGCGTGCAGAGTGGGACAAAGCATAGAGGGGAAAAGCTGGGAGGGGGTAGTCAAGGGGGGGAGGGCTGTGAGGGGGATGGCAGCGTGGGTGAAAGCTGAGAGGGGGGATGCCTGTGAGGGGCCAAAAGGAGCGGGGGTAAGCGGAGTGGAGGACAGCTGAGAGGTGGAAAGCTTTGTGGAGGAAAGCTGTGAGGGGGGAAGATGTGAGGGTGAAAGCTGGGAGGGGGACAGCTGTGAGGGGGAAAGCTGTGAGGGGGAAAGCTGTGAAGGGGAAATCTGGGAGGAAAGAGAGCTGAGGCAGGGATGGCCAAGTGGGAAAAAACCAAGAGGGGGTTAGCCTAAAGGTGCAATGCGAAGAGGGGCAAAGCTAGGTGGGGGAAACCTATGGGGGGGAAGCTGTGCGGGGGGAAGCGGGAAAAAGCCGAGAGGGGGGAAGCTGCGAGGGAGAAAGTAGAGGCAGGGGGAAAGCTGGGAGGGGTCGAGCAGAGAGGGGGCATGACGAGAGGGAGATCCCTGAGAGGGGGCTACACGGGCGGGGTCCCTTGAGATGGGGGAAACTGAGAGGGGTGAAGATGAGAGGGATCAAGCTGAGATAGGGATGGACGACTGGGTGGAAGCTGGGAGGGGGTAAGGTAAGAGGGGGTATGCGAAGAGGGGGAACGCTGCGAGGGAGTTAGCTGAGAGGGAGGAAGCTAAGAGGATGACGCGATATGGGGGAGAGCTGGCCGGGGAAAAGCTAAGTGATGGTAAGCTGGGGGTGGGGGAAAGGGAAGCTGAGAGAGGGAAAGTTGTGAGGGGGAAAGTTGTGGGGGAAAGTTGTGAGGGGGAAAGCTGTGAGGGGGAAAGCTGTGAGGAGGAAAGCTGTGAGGGGGAAAGCTGTGAGGGGGAAAGCTGTGTGGGGAAAAGCTGTGTGGGGGAAAGCTGTGAGGGGGAAAGCTGTGAGGGGGAAAGCTGTGAGGGGGAAAGCTGTGAGGGGGAAAGCTGTGAGGGGGAAAGCTGTGAGGGGGAAAGCTGTGAGGGGGAAAGCTGTGTGAGGGAAAGCTGTGAGGGGGAAAGCTGTATGGGGGAAAGCTGTGAGGGGGAAAGCTGTGAGGGGGAAAGCTGTGAGGGGGAAAGCTGTGAGGGGGAAAGTTGTGAGGGGGGAAGCTGTGAGGGGGAAAGCTGTGAGGGGGAAAGCTGTGTGGGGGAAAGCTGTGAGGGGGAAAGCTGTGTGGGGGAAAGCTGTGAGGGGGAAAGCTGTGAGGGGGAAAGCTGTGAGGGGGAAAGCTGTGAGGGGGAAAGTTGTGAGGGGGAAAGCTGTGAGGGGGAAAGCTGTGTGGGGGAATGCTGTAAGGGGGAAAGCTGTGAGGGGGAAAGCTGTGAGAGGGAAAGCTGTGAGGGAGAAAGCTGTGAGGGGGAAAGCTGTGAGGGGGAAAGCTGTGAGGGGGAAAGCTGTGAGGGGGAAAGCTATGAGGGGAAAAGCTGTGAGGGGGAAAGCTGTGAGGGGGAAAGCTGTGAGGGGGACAGCTGTGAGGAGGAAAGCTGTAAGGGGGAAAGCTGTGAGGGGGAAAGATGTGTGGGGGAAAGCTGTGAGGGGGAAAGCTGTGAGGGGGAAAGCTGTGAGGGGGAAAGCTGTGAGGGGGAAAGCTGTGAGGGGGAAAGCTGTGAGGGGGAAAGCTGTGAGGGGGAAAGCTGTGGGGGGGAAAGTTGTGAGGGGGAAAGCTGTGGGGGGGAAAGTTGTGAGGGGGAAAGCTGTGAGGGGAAAAGTTGTGAGGGGGAAAGCTGTGAGGGGGAAAGCTATAAGGGGGAAGGTTGTGAGGGGGAAAGCTGTGAGGGGGAAAGTTGTGAGGGGGAAAGCTGTGAGGGGGAAAGCTGTGAGGGGGAAAGCTGTGAGGGGGAAAGCTATGAGGGGGAAAGCTGTGTGGGGGAAAGCTGTGTGGGGGAAAGCTGTGAGGGGGAAAGCTGTGAGGGGGAAAGCTGTGAGGGGGAAAGCTGTGAGGGGGAAAGCTGTGAGGGGGAAAGCTGTGAGGGGGAAAGCTGTGGGGGGGAAAGCTGTGAGGGGGAAAGCTGTGAGGGGGAAAGCTGTGAGGGGGAAAGCTGTGAGGGGGAAAGCTGTGAGGGGGAAAGCTGTGAGGGGGAAAGCTATGAGGGGGAAAGCTGTGAGGGGGAAAGCTGTGAGGGGGAAAGCTGTGAGGGGGAAAGCTGTGTGGGGGGAAGATGTGTGGGGGAAAGCTGAGGCAGGGTCCGCTGAGTGGGGGAACGGTGAGTAGGGGTAAGCTTGGAGAGGGTAGCCTTAGGATGGGCAAAGTTTAGGTGGGGGAAAACTGCCTAGGGCCTTGCTGAGAGGAGGTAAGCTGAGAGGTGAGCAGGGGTCGAAAAGGTGAGAGTGGGTAAACTAGGAGGTTGAGACCAGGGAGGGGGTGAGCAGATAGGGGGGAAATTGTGAGGGGGAAAGCGAAGAGGTGAAAAACTGCGGCCGCCTCTCTCCCCTTGGCTTCTTGCTGGGGTTTGTTCCATGCTGACCATGCTGGAGGGTCCTTATGGCTGATCCGGGTGACTTTGCTTGGTGTCCTTGTGGCAGGTTTCCAGCAGCGGCATAGGAGATCGGAAGGGGGTCGGTTTCTGCCAGCTGACCGTTTTTGAGTTTCTGGCCATTGCAAACACGATGGTTCAAGGGATCTTGCAGGCCGTTGAGCGCACAACCCATAGACATGGGCGCGGGGGGCTTCGCATCGCGTGTATCATGGGGCCACTCTCGTGGCTCATGGCGTGGGGTGGATGGATAGGTTGCATCTGTTTGTACTGACTCTACCGTGTAGACTTCGTTTTGCTGCCAAGGCAGGGCACGCAATGTGTGTGGTAGTTTCATGTGTCTGTTGCGCAGGCAATGGGTACTCCCAGCAGTTTCATGTGTCCTTTTTTTATGGGTTTTAGTTGAGTGTGCATTTGTGCATGGGGGTGCTGCTAGCTCATGGTTGGGGTGCTGCTAGAATATGGCAAAATCAGACCAACATCATTCTACATGCCATTTCCATATTACATGTATGGTATATGATTGTTTGTAAACCGCAGCTAATGTCATGGCTTTTGTTTACACCACACGATGCAAGTAGCACCCTAAACCCCAACACATGACCACACCGCTCCCCATACAGGCTTCCTCCAATCCCCATACGGCCATCCTCCATCCCTCATCCCACCCCCCATTCCACCTCCAGCGACCCTCCTTTTCGCCACCTGTCTCCCAATCCCCCCACCGCTCCCCCTCCTGTTACGCTCCTTTCCCCTTGCTGTCATCCTCCTCTCCCGCTCTGGTCTCCTCCATGCTGAGTGCAGTCTCCTCCCCTTCCCCATACAGACACTCTCTCCTTCCCCCCAACAGTCCCGAGCTGGTTCACCCCTGGGTCAACCCCATACCCCCATCAAGTCTCCCCCCACTCCCACTCCTGTCACACTCCCCCTCCTGTCACACTCCCATGCTCTTCTGCTCGCATGCTGCCAATGCTCCCATGCTCCCATGCTCCCATGCTCCCATGCTCCCATGCTCCCATGCTCCCATGCTCCCGTGCTCCCCATACTCCTCCCATGCACCCATGCTCCCATGCTCCCGTGCTCCTAAGCTCCCATGCACCCCATGCTCGCATGCAGCACCATGCTCCCATGCTCCCATGCTCCCATGCTCTCGGGCTCTCCATGCTGTCAATGCTCCCATGCTCCCATGCTCCCCATGCTCTCGGGCTCTCCATGCTGTCAATGCTCCCATGCTCCCATGCTCCCCTGCTCCCATGCTCCCATGCTCCCATGCTCCCCATTCTCTCGGGCTCTCCATGCTGTCAATGCTCCCATGCTCCCATGCTCCCATGCTCCCCATTCTCTTGGGCTCTCCATGCTGTCAATGCTCCCATGCTCCCATGCTCCCATTCTCCCATGCTCTCAGGCTCCCATGCTCCCGTGCTCCCATGCTCCCCTGCTTGCGTGCTCCCCATACTTCTCCCATGCACCCATGCTCCCATGCTCCCGTGCTCCCAAGCTCCCATGCACCCCATGCTCGCATGCAGCACCATGCTCCCATGATCCCATGCTCCCATGCTCCCCTGATCCCATGCTCCCCATGCTCTCGGGCTCTCCATGCTGTCAATGCTCCCATGCTCCCCATGCTCCCATGCTCCCATGCTCCCATGCTCCCCTGCTCCCCTGCTCCCTTGCTCCCCTGCTCCCATGATCCCATGCTCCCATGCTCTCATGCCCCCCATGCTCCCATGCTCCCATGCTCCCATGCTCCCATGCTCCCATGCTCCCATGCTCCCATGCTCCCCTGCTCCCTTGCTCCCCTGCTCCCATGCTCCCATGCTCCCATGCTCCCATGCTCCCATGCTCCCCTGCTCCCTTGCTCCCCTGCTCCCATGCTCCCATGCTCCCATGCTCCCATGCTCCCATGATCCCATGCTCCCATGCTCCCATTCTCCCATGCTCCCATGCCCCCCATGCTCCCATGCTCCCATGCTCCCATGCTCCCATGCTCCCATGCTCCCATGCTCCCATGCTCCCCTGCTCCCTTGCTCCCCTGCTCCCATGCTCCCATGCTCCCATGCTCCCATGCTCCCATGCTCCCATGCTCCCATGCTCCCATGCTCCCCTGCTCCCATGGTCTCATGCTCCCCTGCTCCCATGCTCCCGTGGTCCCATGCTCCCGTGGTCCCATGCTCCCATGCTCCCATGCTCCCCATGCTCCCATGCTCCCATGCTCCCATGCTCCCCTGCTCCCCTGCTCCCTTGCTCCCCTGCTCCCATGATCCCACGCTCCCATTCTCCCATGCTCCCAGGCTCCCATGCTCCCGTGCTCCCATGCTCCCACGCTTGCGTGCTCCCCATACTTCTCCCATGCACCCATGTTCCCATGCTCCCGTGATTCTGTGCTTTGTTGGAAAAAACGCAAATTTCAGTTTGCGTTTTGCGTTTATACGCGAGCAAAATTCGTACGCTGCGTTTTGGGTGTAGATTCGCCAAAATACGCACAGGCTGACCGCAAAAAAAAACCAAAATTTCCGCGACAGTTCGCGACGGGGCGAAACTATTCGGGGGTTTCGCACATCGCGAAATCAACATCAAATTTCGAATTTCAAAGCCGAGGCGCACCAAACCCCCTATCACACCGCTAACCACCCCACTCCACCCCCTCATTCCCACACCTCTCCCAACCCAATGTCCAACTCCCTTTTCCCCTAACAGAGTACGCTTTCCAAGCATAAAGAGCAGCCATTCTAGCATTTCGAACTCATTCTCTTCTCTAGCTTCCCCTTCCGTCTCCAGCATGGCCTCCACGCCTAGACCCACTCCGTCTTCCCCTTCAGCTGTGGCAGCCCCTGTTTCCGCAGAGGCTTCTACTAGCAGCACACTCTTTTGCCCCGACAGCACGCATGTCGTGTTCCGCCACTTCAACGTCCCAATCGACGACTCAAGCGATAGCGCGACGAAGATCTGCAAGTATTGTGAGTTCAAGTTCGTCGGCGGCATGTACCGCTGCGCTCAACACATCACCAGCTGGTCCGGCATGAGACGTCGCGAAGTGCGGCTCTGCCCCTCGGCTCCCAAGTCTGCCCGTGACGCCGTGAAGACTTCGTACAATTCGAAGCTGCAGGCACGCGAACGAAAGCGCGCGGCGGAGGCAGCCGCACTCGGTGCGGTGAGCGGCGCTGCTCGCGATGGCAAAGGGAAGAGGTCCCGCATCACCGACTTCTTCGGGGACGAAGGGACATGCGCGAAGGAGGCGGCAGACGAAGCGCTTTGCCTGCTCTTCGCCGGCCTTCGACTTCCCGAGCATCACGCAGACCACCCTCTTTGGAGGAACGCCGTCAGCTGCATCGCTCGCGCGGGCGCGACGTACGTTCCTCCGAAGCGCCGTTACATCGGAGGGGCGGGCTTGCAGAAGTGCCGCAAGCGCATCGCGGTGGCCTTGGCGCCGATTGCCGCGAGCTGGCACCGCGACGGGGTCACCATCGCGTCGGACATGATGACCGACGGCTGCGGACGCCCCCAAGCGAACATTCTGCTCATCAACGACTCGGGAGCCGTTTTCACCGAGTCGATTGACACGAGAATGGAGTCAAAGACGGGCGGCTACATTGCGAGCCTCCTCCGCCGGATCCTGAGGAGGGTCGGGCCCGACAACGTCGTGGCCCTTTGCATGGATGGCGGCTCAAACTATGCCGTGGCATGCCGGGAGCTCGTGGCGGAATTCCCGCACATCGAGACCGTCCCCTGCGCCACCCACGTTCTCGACCTTCTCATGGAAGATGTCGGGAAGATGACGTGGGCGAAGGACGTGGTGGACACGGCGTCTGACATGATCAACTTCGTCCGCGCCCACCACTTTACCCGCGGCTACCTGAGGAGTAAACACGTCAACGGCGGCAAGGGGCGGCAGGTCCTCAAGCCAGCGGGCACGCGGTTCGGGACACAATTCATCGCTGTGTCCCGACTGTGCGACGTTCGGCTCAGCCTTGTTCAGATGGTCCTGAGCGAGGAGTGGAGAGGGTGGGCGGTGGGGGGGAGGAAGGTGGGTGGTGAGATGTTCAAGGCACAAGTGATGGACGCCTGGTGTTGGCAGCTGGCGGAGTTTTTCATCAAGCTGCTGGAGAAACCCTTCATCGTCATGCGAGCCACCGATGCCACGGCAAAGGGCATGATGGGCCGCATGTACGACACCATGCTCCAGCTCACCGAGGACATCTCGGATTTCCTGGACGAGCATGCGGAGGGGAGGCTCACAAGGGGAGTGGTGGCGGAGGTGAATAAAATTGTGAAAAATCGATGGGATGGGGGGCTCGCCTGCCCCATGCACGTGGTTGGCCGGATCCTAAATCCGGCCAACCAAGAGGAGGGCATTTTCCGCACCGACATCGAGTGCACCCGCGTCTTCAAGTCGTACATCTCCCGCCACTACGACCACCTCACCATCACCCGCAGGGATGGCGAGGAGCGCCGTGCCTCCCTTGTGCTTCAGGAAGGCCTAACGGCCTTCCTGAACCTGCAAGGGAGCTTCGGCCTCCCTGCTGCCATTGCGGACCGCGAGGCTGTGAAGGAGGGGAGGCAGAGTGTCGTGCAGTGGTGGAACTGGCACGGCACGGACTTTCCCGAGCTCGCCACGCTTGCGTGCCGCGTCCTCACACAGCCCGTATCGGCGGCAGCATGCGAGCGCAACTGGGCCGTGTGGGAGTCGGTCCACATGGCCAAGCGCAACCGCTTGGGGTCGGAGAAGCTCAACGATCTCGTGTACGTTGCGCACAACTGGAAAGTTGTGCACAACTGGCACTCGGTCGCGGAGGGGCAGGGGGTGGTCAGCGGGAATATTGAGGAGCCCCCCATTCCGGAGGGGTACATCGAGCAGGAGGAGGGGGACGAAGAGGAGGGGGAGGATGCTGTGCTTGCCGATGAGTACGAGTAGAGCTGACTGACCTGCGGGAGGAGGAGGTGGGGAATGGGGTGGAGTAGTGGAGGGGGACTGCAAAGGGGGGGGGGGGGGGGAGTAGTGGAAGGGGGCTGCAGGGGGAGGTGTTGTGGAAGGGGGGTGCATAGGAGGTTAGAGTATTGGGGAGGGTAGTAGTAATATGCGGGTATTATGATGTACGAAATTTGCCTATCAATAAAATGGGGATGGGGATTTGGGGTGCTTTGTAACCCCCCCATTCCCGCCTCTTACCCCAAATTTCCACCTGCCCGGGAAAGTTTTTTTTGCTGCCCGGGCCACCGTTTTTCCTGCGTACCAGACCCCCTTACACATAGCATTTTGCGTATATACGCTAGCGTACTAAACGCGAAACGCGTTTTTTCCAACATAGCTTCCGTGCTCCCATGCACCCCATGCTCCCATGCTCCCATGCTCCCCTGCTCCCTTGCTCCCCTGCTCCCATGCTCCCATGCTCCCATGCTCCCATTCTCCCATGCTCCCATGCTCCGCCACATGCTCCCATGCTCCCCTGCTCCCCTGCTCCCTTGCTCCCCTGCTCCCATGCTCCCATGCTCCCATGCTCCCATGCTCCCTTGCCCCCATGCTCCCATGCTCCCCTGCTCTCATGCTCCCATGCTCCCATGCTCCCATGCTCCCCTGCTCCATGGTTTCATGCTCCCATGCTCCCATGCTCCCATGCTCCCCTGCTCCCATGGTCTGATGCTCCCCTGCTCCCATGCTCCCGTGGTTCCATGCTCTCTTGATCCGCTGCTCCTCTGCTCCTCTGTTATGATTCCCGCTGCTGCCACAACTTGCGGCACTCAAATGCCCTGTGACAAGGGAGGCGGATGGAGAGAGAAGGCAGTGGGGGAAGGAGATGCTTGGAGTAAACCCGAAACGAGCAATTTGGAAATCTGATTTGCGTAACGAGCTACACATATGCAAAGGCACCATCTGGTAGACTGAAAAGCACTAGCGAGAATGAGAACTGACGGCACGGAAAGAGCGAGAAATGCGTGCGTGGGAGGGAGAAGGCGCATGGTGGCTGACCCACGGCCCTCACGCGCTGCCTTGAGTAATGAAGCCGCATTTGCAAGGGGTACCTTTCTCGCCGTTTACTAACCCTAACTCCCTCGTCGCACTGCTCGAGCTGATTCATCCGGTTTCTGCTGCTGGATGCCGGGCTGATACCGGTGCGGATTTAGGCGACGTTGTTTTCTGGCCCGCGGGTAGAAATCGCTTGGAATAGTGGGTGTTTGAAACGATGCGACTTGACGGTGCGATTTGACGGTGCGATTTGACGGTGCGATTTGACGGTGCGATTAGACGGTGCGATTTGACGGTGCGATTTGGCAGTCGCGGGAATGCTAATGCGGGGCCTGTTGTCGTGAGTCGGGCTTTCGGGGATGGGAAGTATTTGGAGTAAATCGAGGTCCTGTGTCTTGGACACTTCATGTAAGGCAGGTCAGCTGCGTGTGGTGCATACACTGCCTTCAGCGTGGTGGCGCTGGGCTGGGTTATGCACACGGAAAGTCCCAAAATGTACGCGCGCAGTTTCAAGTTTCCTTCCGCCCAGACGCTTTGTGTGTCGGGGGCAGGGGCAGAATTGGCAGGGGGTGGCGCACGCGCGTCAATTGCTTCCCGACCTTTTGGCGTGCGACAGTGGTTTCTGCTCTCGCTTTGGGGAACAAAGTTAACAATCGGGGGTGTTCAAGATTAATAAACTTGAAACGAAATTTCTGCAATTTGGATTAATGGCTTTAAGAAAACAAGTTAAGGAATCCTGAATTTGATAGCCAACCAATGTAGACTCGAGCTTTAAGAAACGGGAATACATGAATTTCAGGTTTGATGAAAATCTAAAGGTGGAAAATCAGGGTGTGCCATAAAAAGCACCATGATATATAGTTTTTTAGACATTTTTGGCCTGACTTCTGCAGGCCTGATCATCTCCGATTGGTACCTTGTTGCGTTACCACGATTAAAGACAAGATCCGATGCAGATCACTGCCAATTCATATATATTTAATGTTATAGGCTAGATAGGTGCATGCTCTTAAAGAATAAAACACCCAAGCATAAGAACCCTTGTATGCCCTTGTCTTGTTCAATTCGTTATTATGATATGGTATCAGAGCGTCTGGGTCACCCTCAGGGACTAGAAGTATGGAGCAGAGATGAGGAGTGACCTCGGACAGGAAAGCTAACTTGTACTGCCTGTCCTCTAGGACGTCACTGGCAATGGCAGGTGTCTAGTTACGTTCGTTGATAATTCCCTCATGTCGTGCTTCGAGGGCTCTCCTAAACATCGCCACATAAGCTGAGAATGTTGACAAGTTCTATTGTATCTTCTTGAAATTCGTAGGTCTCATGTCACAATCGCGAGCCAAATGTAAGGAATTTTCCATTCCTTACTGAGTGGTACTGCTATCACGTACGCTTGAACACACCCGAAGCCTTGGGACAGTTCCAGAACTTTCCGGCAGAACCGCCTCGGCTTCTCCAGACCTTCTAGTTCGACCTTCGGGAGTTCTCCGGGCCTCGCTTCATCACTTCGAGACCCTTCGATCTCTTTCCCGAACCTTCACATCTCATGGTTAGACTAGCTTTGCTATTCCTATATCTTGGCTTGCCATTCCTTGTATCGTCATTTAGTGATTCAACACTCCGTTATTCATTTCCTTGCTACTCTGCTTGCTCATTCATAACACCTGGTATTCAGAGCCACTTTCCTCGCTCACCCGTTTTCGTGAATTGATTTTTTTGGGGGGGGGTAAGTCCCTCACGTACGCTGCAAAGCGGTTGCCCACGAATTAGACGGATTAATTCACCCAACTACGATAGCGTTTGCGCTTACTTGAGTACAAGCACACTACGGATTTCCCCTTACCCCGGCGGAGCATTCGCCAAATGGACCAAGCTCAGTTCAATGAGCTCTGGGAGCAGTTCAACGACATGAACACATGCATGGCTACAGTGCTAGAGGACAACGAGCGACTTCGTGCAGAAGTTGCCGAGTTATGCCAGGTGCGAGAGGATTCGCGTCAGAAAGCTGCCGCCCAAGAGGAGGTCGCCAGCAGCGGACGTGTCGAAACCGTTTTGGACGAAATCGCACGTGAGGTGTCTCAGGAGCGTAAGGACAACGAAGCCGCCGCAGCAGCTGACGTGGCAGCACGAGCAGCAGCCGAAGCAGCAGCAGCTGACGTGGCAGCAGCCGAAGCAGCAGCAGCGACGACAGCAGTAGGCCCCCGGTCAGAAGCAGCCGCTACTGTAGCCGCACCGGCAGTCATGCCGATAGTGATGACAACGACAATCAAACCGACAATGCTGCCCCAGTTCAACCCCACAGATAAGAATATTACCGTTACGGGCTGGTTGTTTTTCGACGGAACTTTATTTTAATGCGACTGGGATCACTGTTGACGATTTAAAAAATCTGGCTGGCTGTATCACTATTGCGAGGACCTGCGCTAGATTGGTGGCGATGTACACTACAGGAGGGGGAGTTTTCGGCAGGCGACACTCAGGGGTTTTTCTGAAACTTTGGGTCTGCTGCCCAAGGGTCAACCGCGATTTTCGGATCGACCAAGATTCGCACGTGGAAGGCGTGGGGTACAGCTCTGCGTGAACGATTTGAGCCAATATCTGCCTCTGACAACGCATGCACGAAGCTGGACAACTGGCGCCAGTGGAGTTCTGTCCAAGATTACGCGTCGGTCTTCATGGCGTTATGCAATCAAATCACCGACATGCATGACTCCGAGAAGAAGGCTCGATTCATTTCGGGCCTGAAGCAGGACACTAAATGCGAGGTTTACTTGCGACTACCGGCGACGTTTCACGAAGCAGTCCGGATCGCATACAATTTCGATACGCATCGGACGTATGCAAGAGTGGGTTCCCTAGAGGGAAATCGTTTTCGCGGCCAGAATCCACGGCCCATGATTCACGACGTAGTGGTGAAGGAGCCCATGGATGACTTTCGCAAGGGACAATGTTTCAACTACCACCGGCTGGGTCACCAATCTCACGATTGCCCCCGAAAGAAGAACATAAAGAAGAACGACAATGGCAGGTCGGGAAACGCCAAGCGTCAGTAGTGGTCGGGCCCCCTACTGACCCTGCCTCATCGCCCGAAAAACACCATCCCTACCGGGTGGTACTTTCGATGCACGCTATCAACCGCTCCCGGCTGAATAAGGGGGATGACCCAGTGCACCACCCTGTACCGGCGGAAGGACGACTCAATGGAAGAAAAAATAAAATATTCATCGACGGAGGTGCGAGTCACAGCCTGATAAATCGGGAGACAGCACGAAGACTACACTTATCGTTGGAGTGGTGTCTGCCCGAAATAGACGCGAGACTGGTGGATGGCACCCTGTTGGTGATACGCGACAAAGTACCCGTCGTTCGAATGAAGTGTGGCGAAGATTTCGGCTTCAGCGCGCTGATGCTAGCGACAACACTCGACGGCTACAATGTGTTGTTGAGACGCAATTGGCTGCGAAGATTCAATCCGCAGATCGATTGGACGACAGGCGAGTGCACAGTGAAGTGCAAAAAAGGCTGGCAAAAATAACACACGTGGCCAGAAGCAGAGACTACCTCGACGCGAGTCAACGCTGTATGCCTCAACCGAGTGGTCATGAATGGAGCGGATTTATACGCCGTCCATCTAACCGAATCAACGGAGCAGGACGAGGCGACCGTCATCAACAAACTCTACGCTTCGGTCCCGGATGACTTGGCAAAAATCATTCAAGAATATCCCGAGATTTTCCCGGCCGACTTGCCAAGTGGACTGCCACCCGAACGACCCCAAGACCACAAAATCGAGCTGGAGCCCGGCGCGCAGCCTACTGTACGAACTCAATGGCCCCTGACTCAGCCCGAGCTACATGAATTACGAAACCAACTTGACTACCTGCTCGCAAAAGGGTTTATTCGGCCGAGCATGTCCCCGTTCGCAGCGCCGATCCTGTTCACCCCAAAGAAGGATGGCGGGCTTCGCATGTGTACTGACTATCGTGCCCTTAATCGGGTAATGATTAAACCGCGCTACCCAATCCCACGCACGGACGAGATGATTGACAACCTTCGCGGAGCTCGCTACTTTTCGAAGATCGACCTTCGTGGCGGTTACCATCAAATCCGGGTGTTCCTAGACGACTGGCACAAGACCGCGTTTTGTACTCGCTACGGGAGTTATGAATACACGGTGATGCCGTTTGGATTAACGAATGCTCCCTTAATGTTCCAGCTCACCATGAACGGGGTGTTCCGCGATCTACTCGACAAATGTGTGATAATTTACTTGGACGACATCCTGATTTACAGCAAGACCCGGGAGCAACATTCAAAGGATTTGGAAGCGGTTTTTCAGCAGCTGCAGCAACATCGTCTCATCACCAAGGGCTCCAAGTGCGAGTTTTTTAAACAAGAACTGGAGTTCTTGAGGCACGTGATATCCAGAAAGGGGATTCAAATAGACCCGAAAAAACTTTGGGCTATTCAGGAGTGGAAACCGCCAACAATTTTGCAGCAGCTACAATCATTTATGGGTTTTGTGAATTACGTGAGGCAGTTTATACCCAACATGGCGGGGTTAACTGGACCTCTAGCCAACCTACTGCAGAAGGGGACTTCTTACGAGTGGGGGGAGAAGCAGCAAGCTGCGTTCAAGGCATTAGAAACTCTTTTAATGTCGCCACCAGTACTTCGCATCACGCACCCGGAACGACCCTTCGAAGTCATCACCGACGCAAGTGACATTGCCATCGGAGCAGTGCTCATGCAAGATTTTGGCAATGGTCTTCAACCAATCGCGTACGAGTCTCGAAAAATGCAATCTGCGGAGCGCAACTATCCGGTACACGACAAGGAGATGCTGGCAATTGTCCACGCGTTTAAAATCTGGAGGTGCTACCTGACTGGAGCAGACGTAATGCTGCGAACCTACCATAAATCTCTACAGTACCTGAGGGCGCAGCCGAATCTCAACCCGCGGCAGATACGCTGGCTGGACTATCTGGAGTCCAACTTCACGTACAAGATCACGTACAAAAAGGGCGCCAACAATATTACTGACGCCCTCTCCAGACCGCCAGCCCAACTCGCAGGAATACTAGTCGCCCAGAGCAACCCGCTACTGAGTGGACTATATACCCACGGGTATACAACTGACCCCTTCTTCGTAAATGGCGGCCATCTCCAAATCACTACACGAAAAGGTGTCTATTACTTACGAAGCGAGACGGATCGAATTTGGGTCCCAAGTTACAGTGGCGGAAACAATTGCCCGGATGTTTAGCACTTCGAAACTTATCACTATGCCACACTTGCTTCGAATGTAGTAACACCCATTTTTTTCCGTCCTGTTACAAGGTTGTCGAGTTCTGCTTCAACCGAATCCTGCTTGGCGCGATTGTGACACAACCAAAAAGCGGGGTTGAGATTTGCTCCTCGGCAGTCGATCTGGACAGTTCATACCGAGCGACAGACTAGATCTATTATCGCTAGTCACTCAGGGTGCACATCGTCTCGCGCAATAGTTGCTAGTCTAGGAGTTAGTCATGGAGCGAACCTACGACCGCATCATGATGAAGCCGGTAGATGACAAGAAGCACGCGCGAATCATAAGCATGTTGCGCAAAGGGCATTCGATTAGGAAAATAGCCAAAGTTCTTGGCATAGGCAAAAGCACCGTGTACGATTACGGTTTGAAGGTGATTGCCAAGACTAGTCGTGATGAGGTGCGACCCACAATGCCCACGGCCAGCCGCCCCCGCTTAATCACAACCCGACTCCAGCGCGGAATAGTTCGAGCGATTACAAGCGGGGAGGCGAAAAGCAGTGTAGACGCCGCAAAGATGTTAGAGGAGAAGCACGCTCTGGCTGTAGACTCGAAGACCGTCAGGAACTCGTTACGATCCGCGGGCTTGATTGCTGTGCAGCAACCCAAAAAACCCAGGCTCTCAGCGAAAAACATACGTGATCGGCTCGATTTCGCGAGGTCGCATGCCGACTGGACGATGGAGGACTGGAAGCGCGTGATTTGGTCTGTTGAGACTAAGATAAACCGTTTCTGCTCCGACGGACGTGCGTACGCCTGGATTCGCGAGGGCACCAGCCTCTAGAGCCATCAAGTCCAACAGACAGTTAAGCATGGGGGCGGTTCTGTGATGGTGTGGGGTTGCATGACGTATGAGGGGGCGGGGTTCATGTGCAAGATAGATGAAAGGATGGATGGGCCGCTATATCGCAGCATCTTGCAAGATGAGCTCTCACAGACCATCGACTTTTCAAGCTCCCTCCCTCAGAGGTCATTTTCCAGCACGACAATGATCCCAAGCACAAGTCCCGTCTGGTGCAAGACTGGCTTGGGGAGCAGGAGTATGCGGTACTAGAATGGCCCTCGTCCTCCCCGGACCTTGACCCGATAGAGCACCTGTGGGCATACTTGAAAAGGCACCTGGCGAAGTACGAAAAAACACCTAGTGGAATGCTGGAGCTGTGGGAGAGGGTGCAGGAGGAATGGGACAAGATACCGGCGGAGGTGTGTTCAAACCTCATCGACAGTATGCCGAGGAGGATCAAGGCAGTGATTCGCGCAAAGGGACGCTGGACTAGGTACTAGTTTTTCTTGTTTCTAGTTTGCTGCCCGTCCTCGGTACAATTTGTCCGGATGTGCTGTTATGATATGCTTAGGTGTTTAAGGACCATGTACTACACTGCTCTGGTTTTTGGCGACTGGAATGAGTGCTCTAACTGATCTTCTCAACGCGTATGCACACCATAAATTAAGGCTTAATGTTTACGCTGCTGCACTCATCAAAATACCAAAAAAAAAAAAAAAAAAAAAAAAACTAAACATCTGGACAATTGTTTCCGTCACTGTATCGTCTACTTCGCGAATTACTAATTCAAGAAGTCCACGATTCGAATTTATCGGGACATTTCGGGGTTGATAAAACTCTGAAGACGTTGCAACGGTTCTATTACTGGCCAGATATGGTGACGGACGTGCAGCGTTACGTGGCCGCATGTACGATCTGCCAGCGAATGAAATCATCACATCAGCGACCGGCAGGACTGTTGCAGCCTCTCGAGCCACCTCAACGCCCATGGATTTCGTCACAAGTCTGCTGGCCGGATACAGCGGAAATGACGTAGTATTGGTTGTCTTCGACCGATTGACGAAAATGGCGCATTTCGCACCATGTCGTACAACCATCACAGCCGAAGAAACCGCGCGACTATTTGCCTACACAAGATACCAGCAGCAATCATTAGCGATCGAGACCCGAAGTTCACGTCCAAGTTTTGGCAGTACACGTGGGCTCGGTACGGCATGCGCCTGCAATTCTCATCCGCTTATCATCCCCAAACGGACGGTCAAACTGAGAGGACAAACCAAACGATGGAGCTGCTGATTCGGACAAACTGCCCCGACCGAAATAAATGGGAGGACGCGCTTCCCATCTTGGAATTTTCCTACGACAACGCGCCCTCAGCAACGTCTAATCACTCCCGGTTTTACCTCAATTACGGGTTGGACCCTACAGTACCTATCTCCACCAACATTGAGAGTCAAGTACCACGGTCGCAGCAGTTCGTCAAAGAATTACAGACTGCCCGAGACAAAGCTATCGAACTTATTCGCAAGGCGAACGCTACTGCTCGACGGTATCTGGATTTACATCGACGGGATATTACAATGGTAGCAGGGCAACTAGTCCTTTTGGACACCAAGAACTTACGGCTACCAGTACCGACGAAATTACGACCACGTTTCTGTGGCCCATTCAAGATCATGAAGATGGTGACGCCGGTGACCGCCCAGTTGCGCCTACTTGACGATTGGCGAATTCACAACAAGTTCCACGTGAGCCAGTTGCGACCTTTTGTACCTGACACATCAGGCATTGCTCGACAGCGATTGGTCCCGGATGTACGGCCACCAGCATAGACGACCATCGAGCCTTCGAAGATTTTGAGCCATAGGATTCGTATCGACGGCCAAGGACGACATGTTGACTTTCCGACACGTGGGTGCGCTCGGGCCAGATACAGTCACCTCCGATACTTGCGAATTATTTAGCCCGCAAGCACGTGGCTGATATACTGTAGATCACCTTCGCTAAGAGGAGGGGAGGGGAGGGGGGGGGTGGTGTCCATTCCTTACCGAGGAATTTTCCATTCCTTACCGAGCGGTACTGCTATCGCCTCGGCTTCTCCACACCTTCTAGTTCGACCTTCGGGAGTTCTCCGGGCCTCGCTTCGTCAGATAGAGACCCTTCGATCTCTTTCCCGAACCTTCACGTCTCATGGTTAGACTAGCTCTGCTGTTCCTATATCTTGGCTTGCCATTCCTTATATCGTCATTCAGTGATTCAACACTTCGTTATTCATTTCCGTGCTACTCTGCTTGTTCATTCATAACACCAAAGCAGTATGGGGTGTATTATAACCAGAATCATCATGTGGATTCACAACTTCGACACTTCAGTCCGCGCTGCTCTGAAAGTTCAGCCATAACACAAACGAACTATTGGTTGGGACCCCGCCGCAAGGTTATCCTTGGCGGAGGCCTCTGATTGGAGGAGGGTGCATGTGGCCCTGCCTTTGACTCACCCAACTCTGTACCGAACATCAATGGCGGCCCTCCTGGCCAACGCCCTCGTTGAAACTCTGCCAGCATGGTCTGGTCTGGTCTGCGTGCATTTCACCGCCCACAGATGTGTTGTCCATAGCTTTATGATTCTTGCGCTTGTAATTACCAGACATGGCGAAATCGTCTGAAGGAAATACTTCTATCGCCGCTCGCCTGCGCCGTATGCCGCATTCCGCCAGCAATCCCCCAGCCGCATAAATGATCCACGTCGTCTACCCCGCACTCACTTCCGTTAACATTTGACACTCAGCGCATTAATCATTTTTTCTCTCCACTCGTCAGCACGAGCTGTTCGTGCGGACCACGCGATGGCGCCGCCTTCCGGTGATGGCGCTGCATCTCAGCCGTCCGATCTAGAATCCGGTCTGCCAGCCATCGTTCTCCCCGCAAATGCAGCGCTGCGGTCGCCGCCCCTTCCGCCGCGCTCCGCCACTGTCCCCGGCCGTCCGCCCCTCCCCTCCGCCTCTTCCGACTCTGGGTCGGAGGGGCCCTCGGCCTCCACTCCCCCCCGCGCGCGTTCCCCCGCCTACACACCGCGACCCTCCGCCTCCTACTCGCCCTCTTCTGGCGGAATGGGCTACTCCGCGCGCCCCGCGCCGTCCCCCCGCGCGCTGCTGCTGCAGCGGTCGCGGTCGGGCGTGCTGATCGGCGCGCGGTCGTTCGGCGGAACGCAGCTGCCGTGGGAGCCGCCCAAGCGCAAGCCGCCGCAGCACACGGCGGAAGTGGGGGCGAGCGACGCCGTGGCGCAGAGCCTGGACTACGAGTGAGCGCGGGGTGGGGAAAATAGGGGGGAACGGGGTGGGGGGGAGAGGTAACGGAGAGTTTGAGGGGGGAAGGTTAAAAGGCGGAAGTGGGGGCAAACGGTGCTGCGGCCCGAAGCTGGGGCTCTGAGAGAAGTCGAGTGGGGTGGGAGGGGAGTCGGGGGGAAGGGGGGAGAGTACGAATGGGGGGAAAAGGTTGGCGGAACGAAGGGGGCGGACAGGGAGAGATGTAGGGGGAGAGATTTTGAGAGAGGTAAGAATCGTTGAAACAATCAGGCAATGAGGGGGCAATGTGGGGTTTCGAGAAGAGAATGAGATGTATATGATACAACATGGCGGGCAAAGGCGACATCACGACGGGCGTGTTTCTCCTCGCATCCCCATCCCCTCCACCTCTTCACCCCTGCCCCCTGCCCCATGCCCCTCGGGCTAGAGGGGTGGGAGGAGGCAAAAGCTGCGGGAGAGGTGGGTCTGGGTGAGGCCAGGTCGCCCGCTGCCCTTCCCTTCTCCCTGCCCACGGAGCACGCGGAGCACACGGAGCACACGGTGCCCACGTCCGTGGTGCCGCTGCCCATCGCGTGCCCATCGCGTGCATGACGGTCCGTTTCCTCTCGCCTCTCTCTCTCTTCCTGTCCGCTTATCTCCCCCCTTACCCAGACTGGAGGAGTCAGAGGAGGCAAGAGTAGCGGACAAGCTCAGCCTGGGCTGCTTCCCCGTGCCTCCCCACTCCCCGCTTCTCCCCGGCCCCCCAGGCTGGGAGCGTCACAGGAGGCGAGAGCAGCGAGCAGGCTGGGCTGGGACGAGGCGATGAACCACACAGCGGCCAAATGGGTGCTCGTGCTGCTGCCGGCCTGCATCACTGACACCATGCCCCTCTCCCCTCTACCATTCCCTTGCTGCCTTCAGACTAGACGAGCCAGACGAAGCTCGGGCAGCAGACAGGCTAGGGTTGGGCGAGGTGATCGTGATCGAGTACACGGCGGCCAAGTGGGCGGTGGTGCTGCTGGTCAGGTGCACGACCGACACAATGCCCCTCTCCCCCTCAACCACTCCCTCCCCTGCAGACTAGAGGAGTTGGAGGAAGCCAGAGCTGCGGACAAGCTAGGGCTGGGCGAGGGCATTGAGTACACGGCGGCCAAGTGGGTGCTCGTGCTGCTGGTGGGCGCGTGACAAGCACAGTTCCCCTCTCCCCCGCTGTCCGCCCTCCCTTGCACATCCGTCAGACTGGAGGAGTCAGAGGAAGCAAGGGCCGCAGACAAGCTCGGGCTGGGCGAGGCGATGGAGTACACGGCGGCCAAGTGGGCGCTGGTGCTGCTGATCGGGTGCATGACGGGCGCCGCGGCCTTCTTCATCAACATGGTGGTGGAGAACACCATGGGGGCTAAGCTCGCACTCACCATTTCCCTGCTGAAGGGTGGCAGGTGGGTGTGAGTGTGTGCTGAGAGAAGTAACATGAGAGTGAAAGAATTGAACTAGATTGAGAGCCAAGACGCTCTATATTACAACCAAGGAGGAAAAGGAAAGGTTGGAAGGGAAGCCACTGCTATTGGCTACAATAGTGGCCAATGGGAGAGGTAGCTTGGAGGGGAGGCAACCCCAAAGTGTGGTAGTTGCTGATTGGTGGAGCCTTGGGACCATTTGGTTGGAAAGTGCCAACCAAAGGACCAAGGCCAAATCCAATCTTGACCTACCCGAAGTGTGGTTGGTGAACCCAACAACAACCCCCCAATAACTTAAATGTCTACACCCCCTATTCTAGTCATGCATGTTGTATATAAGTATAGATTACAACATGTGCAGTACGTGCATGTCACACTGCATGGCGGGCGCCGCAGCGTTGTTCATCGGCATGGAGGTGGAGGTGGAGGTGGAGGTGGAGGTGGAGGTGGAGGTGGAGGTGGAGGTGGAGGTGGAAGTGGAGGTGGAGGTGGAGGTGGAGGTGGAGGTGGAGGTGGAGGTGGAGGTGGAGGTGGAGGGAGGTGGAGGGAGGTGGAGGTGGAGGTGGAGGTGGAGGTGGAGTGGAGAGCATGATGGGCTCAGCTCGCCCTCATCATCGCTCTGCTCTAAGGCGGCAGGTGGGTGTTGGTTCCAAGGGGGGAGCGTTTGATTGAGTTTTTGTGCTTGTGCATGTGTGTGTGCATGTGTGCGTGCCAGCATGCGTGCATGTGTCACATACCAACGGAGCGCACGAATCAGTGAAGCAGGAAAACAGCTATTGTGGAGCAACAACACGCAAATGAGGCTGACACATGGCAGCTTGTGACTCGCATCCCACTGACCAACCCCCCTCCTCCATTCCTTCTCCTTTTCCTCCTTCCGAAATGCTGCTCTTCCCTCCCAGCCCCATGCTGGCAGTGCTGGTGTACTCGTTACTGAGTGCTCTGCTAGTGGCAACATCAGCAGCCCTCTGTGTGTTTGTGGCGCCAGCAGCAGCAGGGTCGGGAATCCCGGAGGTGCGGGCGTACCTCAACGGCGTGGACATGCCCAACGTGCTCGCACCACGCACACTGCTGGTCAAGGTGAGTCAACGCTGGTCAAGGCGAGTCACCGCTGGACAAGGTGAGTCAATCCTGGTCAAGGTGAGTCAATCCTGGTCAACATGAGTCAACGCTCCTCTCACTTTTCCCCTCCAGTGCTTTGGCAGCACAGCAGCAGAAGAGGGGCGGCTGGCTCTGGGCAATGAGGGCAAGGTACAAAATACGGCCGTTTTTTTCCTTTCGAGACCGTATGGTACGGTACCGAATTAAACGGCCGTATAATACGAATTAAAACGGATTGGAAAAATATTTTGTTATTGATAAAATAAATCAGCCGTTTTTTTGCAAAAAAGAAGAAAAAAAACCCAGCGAAATGTCCGGATCTGGCATTTCGCCTGCTGGAATGTGCCGGATCCCGCGTTTTTTGTGGAAGAAGTGTGCGGATCTGACATTTCGCCCGCCAAAATGTGTGTCTGGCATTTCTCCGGCCAAAATGTGTGGATCTCGCGTTTTGGTGGACGAAATGCGCGGATCTGCTGGACGTTTAGGACTTCATAAAAAAATACACCCGAAACGCTCTATTAAAAATTCGACGTTTTTTTCCTAAAATCACCGAAAAAACGATTAAAAAAAAACCATGGAAAAAAACGCCCTGCCGAAATTTTGCACCTTGAATGAGGGGCCTCTGGTGCACGTAGGGGCGGCCATCGCCTCCCTCTTACCCCATCCCTCATATCTTTTACTCCCTCCCTCTCTTTCCCCCTCTCCCTCTCTCTCCCCTGCTCCATCCCCTCTCATCACATCTTTGGCAGCATAGGGGCAGACGCTGGCCCGGGGCAAGGAGCGGCCACTGGTGCACATAGGGGCGGCCATGGCCTCGCTCGTCCCTCATCCCTCTTGCCTACTGCTCCCTCCCTCCGCCGCTCTTTCCAGATATTCGGCAGCATAGGGGCGGAGGCGGGCGGCTTGGCGCTGGGGAAGGAGGGACCGCTGGTGCACATAGGGGCGGCCATCGCCTCGCTCTTTGGCCACGGGTCAATCCGAGACAGGCTCGTGCGGAGAGAGAGGGCTGGGGGTGGGGGTGGAGGGGAGTTGAGCACAGGTGCGGTGCGGGCAGCATCATTAGGCGAATCTGAGCCGTTGCTTCAGCAGGGCAATTTTGGAAGCGGGCGTAGGAAGCGCGGCAAGAAGGTGGCGCAGGAGGGAGGAGGAGGAGGTGGGGGGGGAGGCGGAGGGGGGAGTGGGCGGTGGTGGCTGTTCTACTCAGGTTGGCTGCGCTTCTTTGACAATGACCGTGCGCGTCACGACCTGGTGACCATCGGCGCCGGTGCGGGTGTGGCGGCGGCGTTCCAGTGCCCGCTGGGGGGCATCCTCTTTGCGCTGGAGGAGCTCACCTCGTGGTGAGGCTGCTGGCGTGGGGCATGGAGCTTGGCCCCCCAGAACACAGGCACATGGGCTTTAACCGCTGGTAGCACAGTTGCATGCGCCTTGACCCTTACTAGCACCGCCTTCCCCACGCTTTTCTGTTCTTCCTGGATTGCTCGTGCGTCTGCCACCCGCTCACCGGGAGCATCAGGTGGCAGAAGAAGGTGGCGTGAAATGCACTATTTTCCAATTTGCTCGGTTCTCGGTTCCGCGGACTCCCTTTGCCGTACACCGTGCTCTACCCATTGCTGTTGCTTGCTCGCCGCCCCTAGCCTTACCCCAAGGTGGAAGAAGGTGGTGTGAAAGGCGCTGTCCCCCCTTCCGCCTTTCCCCCCTCCTCCCCTTCCCCCCTCCCCCATTCCCCCCTTCCCCCCTTCCCCCTTCCCCCCTTCCCCCCTTCCCCCCTTCCCCCCTTCCCCCCTTCCCCCCTTCCCCCTTCCCCCTTCCCCCTTCCTCCGTGCTCCCACGGCAGGTGGAAGAAGAAAGTGGTGTGGAAGGCACTCTTCACCAACGCCGTGGGCGCCATCGCGCTGAGGGCGCTCATGGCGGCATGCCGTGGGGGCAGGTGTGGGCTGTACGGCGACGGGGGCTTCATTCTCTTCAATGCGCAGGTTAGTGGGATGTCGGTGGGATGTCAGTGTGGTGTCAATGTGGTGTCGGTGGGATGTCAGTGGGATGTCGGTGGGGTGTCGGTGGGGTGTCGGTGGGGTGTCGGTGGGGTGCCGGTGGGGTGTGTCGGTGGGGTGTCGGTGGGGAGTCGGTGGGGTGTCGATGGGCTGTCGGTGGGGTGTCGGTGGGGTGTCGGTGGGGAGTCAGCATGATGCGAGCGTGCAACGTGGGAGATGCATCCATTGCTCCGTATGAGATCTCACCTGTGGATGCCGGGAGGGTGAGTGTTGTGATCATGCACATGCCACCATGCACATGCCACCATGCAGATGCCACCATGCACATGCCACCATGCAGATGCCATCATGCACATGCCACCATGCAGATGTCATCATGCACATGCCACCATGCATATGCCACCACCACGCATATGCCACGATGCACTCAAATTTTTGCACTCAGGCAGAAGCAACATCTCGGCCGGCCAGAAGGCACTTTCGCTTGCTTGATGCCACTTCAACTCCAGGTGCCCTTTTTCTCGCAATCTCCATTTCCTTGTGCGCCCTCCCCATCCCTCTGGCCGCCGTCAGAGGGAGAGCGACTTCGGCCTGCGCGAGCTGCTGCCGGTGCTGGTGCTGGGCATCACCGGGGGGCTCATCGGCGCACTCTTCAACGCTGCTGTCGCCCGCCTCGCAAAGCTACGCGCCAAATACATCAACCCGTGAGTCAGTCTGCCCGTGAGCCAACCCATAGTCGACCATTGAGTCAACCCATAGTCAACCATTGAGTCAACCCATGAGTCAATCATTGAGTCAGCTCGAGTCAACGTGTGAGGCAACAATCAAACGTGGGTTTGCTCATTCAGTCGGAATTGGATGAGAAAGAGTTCAGTGCCGGATGTTGGTCATGCGGCTTCAGGCGTCCATTGTCAATTGCTCAACGCATCAATGGTCACACGACAGATTGTTTTTGTGTGTCACGGTGCTGTGCTTAGCAAGTGGAAACACTCGATTTCACCACACAAAGATGGCGCTATGACAATTGATGGACAACAGCACGTACCATTTGAACACCTCAGGGTTGTGTGTTCAACTCAAGGCAGCACAGTTTCGTTTCGCCTCCTCTTTTCACCCCGTCCCAACCCGCCCTGCACCCGTGGCCCATGGGAGGGGCAGCACTCCTCAAGGAAACACTCCTCTGCCCCACAACGTGCCTCCCTCCCTTCTCCCATGCGCCCACCTGTGCCATGCAACGTGCACAGGGCTGCCATCACATCGCTCACATTCCCCTCTCCCTCTCCCTTCTTCTCATCCCCCCCCCCTTTTTCCCCCCTCGCCTGGCATCCTCGCATTGCTGCCTCGCATGGCAATCCCCTCCCGCCTCCCCATCCCTCCAGCTACGGCCCGTGGTGCAAGGTGCTGGAGGCGGCGCTCATCGCCATCCTCACGTCGCTCGCCCGCATGGCGCTCCCCTTCTTCTCGCGCTGCCTGCCCTGCCCGGAAAATGAGGTCTGCCCGGCCCCCACCCTGAACGGCAACTTCATAGCGTTCGCGTGCCCGGCGGGCAGCTACAACGCGATGGCGGGGCTGGCGCCCATCACCAACGACAACGCCATCACCAACCTCTTCTCCAACACACACGCTGAGTTCCCGTGAGTGCCGTCCACTCGTGAGGGATATTGCAAGATATCGCATATCATCAGATTTTCATCCTGTCGCTTCATCAGCCACTCTGTTTAGCGGATGTCTTGCTCGATTCCGTTGTGATGATTCTCCCCAAAGCTGCAGCTTCTCTCTTCTTCCTCTTTCCCCTCCTTCCCCTCTCTCCCCACTTTCCCCGCCTCCCCTGACCCCCATTCCCCCAGCCACGCCACGCTGGCGCTCTTCTTCGTGGTGTTCTTCGCGCTGGCCATCATCACCAACGGCTGCTCCGTGCCCGCGGGGCTCTTCGTGCCGCTCATAGTGGCAGGCGGCACGTACGGCCGCATGATGGGCAAGCTCATGCGCGCGCTCTTCCCCCCCTCCAACCCCACATGGCTCCTCCCATCCCTCACATCCCCGCTCCGATCGGCTGGTTTGCTCTGGAGCGGAGGGGCGTCTGAGTCCGACCCCGACACGGGCCTGGACGAGGGCACGTATGCGCTGCTCGGCGCCGCGTCCATGTTGGGCGGCTCCATGCGCATGACCGTCTCCCTCTCCGTCATGCTGCTGGAAGTCACCGGGAACCTTCTGCTCCTCCCGCTGATCATGCTGGCGACGACCATCGCGAAGGAGGTGGGCGACTGCTTCAACGAGGGCGTGGTGGACGAGGCGAGCCACGTGAAGCGGCTGCCCATGCTGGAGTACCCGCCGCCGGAGTTCATGAAGAACCTCACCGCCCTCGACGGGGTGCGCGGCCCGGCTGTGGCGCTCAAGAGCGTGGAGCGCGTTGGCGAGGTGCTGCGCGTGCTGCGCTCCACCACCCATTCCGCCTTCCCCGTTGTGGAAATGGCGGTGGTGGGGGAGGAGAAGGGCGCAGTGGGCGGGTCGAAGGGCAGCAGTGAGGGGAGGGGAGGAGAGGGAGGGGAGGGGGAGGAGGAGGGGGCAGTGCAGCCGGTGCTGTACGGCATGGTGCTGCGCTCGAAGCTGCTCAAGCTGCTGGCGCGTAGATCCACCTTCCAGCACGACAATCAATGCGCCACTGGTAAAAATGCCTCTTATAAGCTTCCTCTCTCTACAGCGACAACACCCGGCGCTTTGCAGGAGCCTAGAGCTGCCACTCGTACAGTGCGGTTTGAGGGCGTGCCGGACAGCCCTGAGGCAGCCAATGGGGAGAGGACACGTGGCAGGGCTGAAGCTGGGGATGCAGGAGGGCCGACATCAGGGAGGAGGCTGGAGAAATCTCTCTCACACAAGCACCGCACAGCGACTGCGATAGTGAACGCTAAGGAGACGCCTTGTATTGAGGACATCCATCTGAGTGTGGAGGAGGAGGACATGTTCCTGGACCTGCACCCCTTCTGCAACACCTCCCCTCATGTGGTGGGCGAGGCCATGAGCCTGCGCAAGGCGTACGCCATCTTCCGGCGAATGGGGCTGCGCCACCTGTGCGTGGTGCGCGAGCGCATGCAGGTGGTGGGCGTGCTTACAAGGAAGGACCTGCTGCCCAACTCGTTTGAGGAACACGGCCTGGAGGAGGAGTGGGAAGACGACGAGAGATATAGCAGTGACGACGAGGACGAGGAGGAGGGCGATGATGGTTCAGCACATGGGGCTGAAAGATCTGCGAGGAGTGATGGCAGGGAGGGGCTGACAGATGGTGGTGAGAGTGGGGGTTCCGCAGGGGAGGGCAGGGTTGTTGCGGTGGCGAGTGATGGGGGTGACAGTGGGATGCATGGGAGTAGCCATGGGAGTGACAGCGAGGGCAGTGTGGGAGGCACAAGGAGGCGCAGGAAGCGTGCAATTCCTTCCTTCATCTCGCGCTGCCACACGCAGAAGTACCACTGAGCAGGGCACGCTGTGCAACAGGCAAATGCGCAATTCAGTTGGTGTATTTTTCCGGGATGAGCACGTGGGATAAGCAGCTCCGCCACCCCCATCCGCTCTGCCTCGGGCTCTGGTGGCAGCACATTTGAGCGTGGCCTTCCCAGTAAGCTGTGTTGTGTAGGCAGGATGGCAGGACGGCACCATCAGAAGGGCATGCTACATGTTGCACATGTGTGGATGGTGGAAGCTGCAACATTGATGATTACCTCACAGGCAGCCATTCCCTACGTATTGAAGACACGTGGCTCAGCCCTCAGTTGAACCCATCAGTTGAACCCCAGTTCAACCTCAGGTTTCCCCCCATCCCAACCCCCTCTACACATGGAGTGTCGCACTACATCCATGCTGGCTTCTGCTGTTCCCTTCAGGATCACGCAACGCAGAGCTGAGTTGGATACCCAAGGCAAGGCCCATTACAGTGCTGAGACTGGAAGGTGGAGCAGGTTGTGACACGTCTCACGCAGATGGCTGCTTGCATGCAATGGGCTTCACACCAAACCACATTTGACTGATCATTCCTTGCAATAATACATCTCTGGGCGCGTGCAAAACATGCAGCAACTAGTAAAACGGCAGGTGTGAGGAACAAAGCGGGTCCACTCCAAGGGCGATCTACAATTCAGAACACCGCTAGAGGATATTAGTTACCACACAAATCCGAGCGTACAATGCACTCGATTTCTCCCCCCCAATGAGCGGCAGCGCCGCGGAAAACCCCATTCCAGGAGAAGAGCAGCTACGCGAGCACCCGGTCGATGCCGTACGCCTCGAAGCAGTTGCCCGTGCCCGTGTGCAGGTGCGCCAGCACCAGAGCGGCCGGCTTCGTCGACCCCACCACTCCCAGCGCCACTTTGAAGGGCGCGGCGGGCGCCTTGAAGACGCGGAGCTTCTTGCCGGGCAGCGACGTGGCGGGCGTCATGCCGACGGACGTCTTGAGGTTGTCGTCCTGGCTGTCCAGGATGTGCAGGCGGTACAGCTTCTCGTTGTTCTTGATCTTCGTCGCGTCCACCTTCGCCGCGGCGAGCGCGGCATTGGTGGGGATCAGCAGCGTGCTGTCGTAGAACTCGCTAACGTCGTAACCCTTCTCTGCGATTTGCGGAAAAACAGGGAGAGCGAAACAGTTATTGTCAGGAATGCGAGGGAGAAAGACGTCAGAAAGTGAGCAACAATTTACATTCAACGTAAATTCGTGTGATTCCAGCAGCGACAAGTTTGCTGTAACAGGTTGTATCGAATTGTGGCGAATGGTGGCGACGGTACTCACGGACAGCCGTGACGAGCTTCTTGAGCTCGGCGGAGATGGCGCTGTACAGCTTCGGCTGCGCGTCCAGCACTTTGACCAGCTGCCCCGCCTCCCTGATGCACGACCCCGTCGTGAACGCCGTCGCGACGTTCGCCAGGACGCAGGCGACGACTGCAAGCAGCATGAGCTCGCGAACTCGAGCCATAGTCGCGGAGGAATGAAAGCGGTGTGGAGATGAACTAGCTGCTTGGAGGACACTGCAACGATCGAGGAGCTGGTTTGAAGAATGGGTAAGGACTGGCGAAGATATACGGGGAAGCAGAGGCATAGCATGCGGAATACTTCAATCCTTGCGAGTAGGCCAAACTTTTGTTTTAGAGCACCTTTGGATTCCTGACTACCTTCGATATTCCCTGAGAATTGGATTTGCGGACTCATGTCCAGGCACCGAATACAGGGCGGGTTAGGATGGCCGGCGACAACGGAACCCGTGAACGCGCTTGGGAAGTCGGAATGGGGACCTGATGAGAAAGGCAGGACGGCAGCACTTCGAACTACTGCAACAGCCAGAGATGAATATTTCAAGTGACCTGCACATACTGGAAAGGGACAAATTCGGTGAGGACCTAGAAGAACAAATATGGTGGATATGCTTTGAGTCTCGAAATGATGCGGTCAGCCAGAACAATAACCAGCAGGGAAACAACTTCAAAACACCCACCCTCACGTCCGCAAATCCTTCCCAACGAGCAGACGAGCCGAAAGCACAGCCTTGAACCCAGGGGGACATGGGTTCGGTTCAGGCCTCTGGAATTCAGGGTAATTACAGTGCACTGTCAAGGAAAACAGGTTTAACGTTTAACCTATTCCTGCTTTTGACGCATTCAGAATATCGATACCCGTCCATGGACAGGCAAGCCAGAAATATGCCACGGCCAATTTCCGATACGGGATAACCCGCCCTGTAAAATCTAATGTAAACGTTCGCGCCCCTAGTAAAAATTATCCCCCTGTCATTGTCAGGAGTGGCTTATTCCGAGCTTGACGAAACTCTTGCCCGCAAAAACAGTCAAACTTTTGAGGGCTAACCAGCCTGGACGAGTTGGATCCCGGGCAAACTCGGAAACTGCAGGGTGACCCCAAGGATATCGAGAGGCCTGGTTCGGTTGGAAGGTATGGAAGAGCCGTGGGAGGGCGGCTCGGGAATTTCGCGGCGCATCTTGTCTCTTGACATCTCACTTCTGTACCAGAAATGCGCCAGCTGGCAGTCAAGTGCAGAACGATAAGGACTTGACGGCTACACGGAAACACTCATTCTCAAAAACGTGTTACGAACATGATAAATGTTATGATATAGTAAGTGTCAATGAAATATAACGTGAAAATACAAGATCACTATTGTAATGAAGGCACGAGGTTATATAGGGGTTGGCGTGCTAGGGGGATAACCTCGGAACGTGGGTAGGTTCGGCAATGTGGCGACAGTGCCGGACGAGGCGCGGGAAAGGTTTGGGCCGACAAATGAGGCCGAACGTGACGAGTCGAGGAGTTCTTGTGTACGCGCTAGGCCGAATGGAAATTCCTTACACTACTCCCCCCCTCCCCCCCCCCCCCCCCTCCTAAACGAGGCCGCGGGCATCGGAAACATTCCGACGCTGATAATACGCTACTAGAATCGGGTGTGATTCTATATCAGCGAGGGGCACCCAGCTGTCATCCTTTAACGTCCGATCGTGCCATCAGACGAGAAAATCCGCCATTCGTCGGTTCTGCTGCGTTGTGACACGATGGCCGAGAATCTTCAAGCGCTCGGTCGTCGGTTCCTGCAGGGGCGTCAGCTGCGGTACGATACGTTGACGTGCCAAATCCGACGAACTTGGGACGTAGGGTCGTAGTAGGCTGACGTGGAAAGCCGGGTGGTGACGCCAATCCGCCGGGAGTCGGAGGTGAGCGAAGACAGGTGTCACCATATTGGTCACTTGAAAGGGGCCACAGAATCTGGGTCGGAATTTGCTCGGGATCGGCAGGCGCAAATTGCGAGTGTCGAGTAGTACGATATCTCCCACATTGTAAGTGACGTCACGTCGATGACGACCAGCTTGTTGACTTGCGACCAGTATGGCTTTCCGGATTGCCTCAGCTGTTTTTTCTCGGGCTGCGAGGATGTCTTCGGCAAATCGCTGGGACCGGGGCACGGGTGTCTCGATGTTTGGTGTAGAGGGTACCACGGGGTCCTGTCCGTAATTAAGGAAAAATGGGGATTGATGGGTGGTTGCGGAAGGCGCGTTACTATACGCAAATTCCAGGAGCGGAAGGGATTTCTCCCATGTTTGTGGGTCAGTACAGGTAGTCCGAATGAGTTGCTACATTGTTTGGTTGACTCGTTCAGTCTGCTCGTCGAACTGTGGGTGGTAGGCGGAGGAAAACTGTAGTTTGGTGCCGAATTGGTCCCACAGGTGGCGCTAGAAATTCGATGTGAATTTCGGGTCCCGGCCTGAAATAATGGCGGTGGGCTGTCCGTATAGTCTGATGACATTGGTGATGAACAGTTGGGCAGTTTGCTCCGTTGTAATTTTCTGTTGGCAGACGATGAAGTGCGCCATTTTAGTAAGTCGGTCAACGACCACCATGACGTCGTTTCCGCTGGGACCGGCCGGCAGTCCTGTCGCGTAGTCCATCGTGACGTGTTGCCAGAGTATCTCGGGCGGATCCAACGGCTGTAGGAGTCCGGCTGCTCGTTGATGGGATGATTTCATGATCTGGAAGGCGGTGCAGGAGGACATGTACTTGCGCACGTCGTCGGCCATATTCGGCCAATAATAATTGCGCTGCAACGTCTTCATGGTTTTCTCGACTCCGAAATGCCCGGAGGTAGGATTGTCGTGGGATTCCTGGATTAGGAGGGTACGAAGTAAATCGTAGCCGGGAACCCAGATGGGGGAAGTGTCGCACTTATTGAAGTAGTGTCCGGTAGCGGTAGTATGCTGTTGGTGAATGGCGGAGCGGAAGAATGGGTTGATTTTGTAGCCGTGGGTAAATAGTCCAGTAAGGAGTGGGCTGGTCTGGGCGGCTAGTATGGCGGCTGTATGGGCGATGGGTCGGGTCAGGGCATCAGCAATGTTGTTGGCGCCGCATTTGTAGGTGATGGTGTAGTGGAAGTTTGACTCGAGGAAATCGAGCCATCGGATTTGTCGCGGGTTAAGGTTCGGTTGGGCTCGGAGGTACTGGAGGGATTTGTGGTCGGTCCGCACAATGACGTCAGCGCCTGTCAGGTAGCACCGCCAGGTCTTGAACGCATGGACGATCGCCAACAGTTCCTGGTCGTGTACCGTATAATTTTTCTCTGCGCCCTGCAGCTTCCGTGATTCGTAGGCGACTGGCTCTTATCTGTCGCCAAAATCCTGTAGGAGAATTGCGCCGATGGCGATGTCGCGGGCGTCGGTGATGACTTCGTATGGATGGTCAGGATCGGAGATGCGAAGGACGGGCGGCAACGTGAGGGCGATCTTCAGCTGGTCAAATGCAGCTTGCCGCTTCTCTCCCCACCAGGAACAATCGTGATCCTTGAGTCGGTCAGTAAACGGGGCAGATAACCAAGCCATATTAGGGATAAACCGGCGGACGTAATTGACGAAGCCAAAAAAACTCTGCAGTTCCTTGATTTTGCTCGGCGGCTTCCATACCTGTATGGTCTTGATTTTCTTGTGGTCGATTTTCACTCCTTCGGTAGAGACGATGTGGCACAGAAATTCCAACTCCTGCTTAAGAAAGTCACACTTAGACCCTTTGGTGATGAGGCGATTATTGTGCAGCAGTGTGAAGACTGCATCAAGATCCTTTAAGTGCTGCTCCCTGCTGCGGCTGTAAATTAATATATCGTCGAGGTAGATGATGACGCATTTGTCCAAGAGTTCTTTGAAAATTCCGTTCATGGTCAGTTGGAAGGTCGAGGGTGCGTTCGTGAGGCCAAAAGGCATCACCAGGTACTCGTAGCTGCCCTATCAGGTTCGGAATGCCGTCTTGTGACAATCGTCAGCGACGATGCGAATCGGATGATAACCCCCTTGCAAATCGAATTTCGAGAAAAACTTGGCACCGAGAAGTTGGTTGAGAGGTTCATCGTCTCACGGAATCGGGTTACGCGACCTGATGGTGATCCGGTTGAGCGCGCGGTAGTCGATACACATTCGGAATCCTCCATCCTTCTTCGGCCTGAACAATATCGGGGCGGCGTATGGTGACGCGCTGGGCCGGACATATCCTTTTGTGAGAAGGTAATCTAGCTGCTGCTGTAATTCTTTCAGTTCTGGTTGGCTGAGCCGAAATTGGCGCTGTACCGTCGGTTAGGCGCCTGGTTCCAGCTCGATGCAGTGGTCCTCAGGTCTGCTCGGTGGGAGCCCAGCTGGCAGATCGTCCGGGAAAATCTCCAGGTATTGTCGAATCAGGTCCGCTAAGTTCGGAGGGACGGCCTTGCACAGCTTCTCAATGTCTTCGTTCTCGACCGTCGATGTCACATGGCGAAGATCAACGGCGTACGCTACAGCTCGAGCCTTTGTTGCTCGATTCAAGGTGATCGCATGGAGTTGGGTGCTTTGCATGCGAGGCCCCATCCACTTGGGCTCGCGGGAAATCCCATCGAGCTTGATGCTGCAGCCGTCCGTCGTCCAGTCAATCTTCGGGTTGTACAATCGCAACCAATCCCGTCCCAGCAGCACGTCGCACCCGTCGAGAGAAGTCGCCAGTAGTCCCATCCTCCCCACAGGTAAAACCAATGTTCTCCATTTGTTCCCGTATTGCCAGCGGTGTTCCGTCCACCAAGCGAGCGTCCATCTGAGGTAAACACGTGAGTAAGGGTAGACCCAAATTTTTAGCCCTGTCCAGTTGTATGAGACTGTGAGTCGCGCCTCCATCAACGAATATCTTCAATAACACCCCGTTGACTTTACCCTCCACCAACACATGTTGATTAGCAGTTTCGTCCCCCTTATTCGTCCGGGTCCGGTCGATTGCAGCAATCGGGATCACGACCCGGTGGGGACTGTGTGGCTCAGGCGAAGAAGCCTGTCCGTTAGTAAGGGGCCCTGTACTTACTGACGCGACCCATTTCCCGGTCGCTCCTCCAGCTTCTTCCCCATAGAATTCTGGAGGGCTATGAATTCTTCGCAACTGCGTCGGATGTGACTCGGCCGGCCACAGTGGTAGCATAGCCCCGTATTGCGCGGAGAAAATGCATAAATATCCACTGCGTCCACCCCTTTTATCGTGGCACGCTGGTACTGTT